GTGTGTTATGTGTATGTGGGGGAAGAGAGAGTGGGTTTTTGGTGGGGCTGAGAGCATGTCAGCATGCTGTCTTGTAAGTTCAGACAGCAGCAGACTCTCCCTCCCCCTGCCTCTCGCTCTCTCTCACACACACAGCATTCCACAGTAATGGTTGCTTTGTCTCAGAGCAGATAAGCAGCCAGATGTCAGAAACAGAGCTTTCAAAGGGCATATCCGCATTCCTACAGTGAGTTCAAAACAATGAGAAGAGTGGCCACTTGACTTAAGGGGATTATGGGATGTTTCCGGAGGCTGATCAGAGCGCAGTAATGCAACACCTTGTTCACACTGATGCCCGGGCATTTCAGCCAAGGCGCACCAAGCATTAATCTTCTTGCCAAGGTGGAGTACCAGGAGCACTCTAGCCATGGAGTCAGAGCACACTACGTGCCTTGCCAATGTGGATGGGTATTGAGCTAGGATGCCCGAGGCTGCTTTAATGCACTCTAACTCATAAGTGTAGCCAAGCCCTGAGCTGGTATATAACTAGTAAGAAAGATCAGCAATTCTTCCACTGCCCCATGCTGGCTCTTTTCTTTTGTTTACTGTGGGTCTGGTACCATGAATGGCAAGTTGCCACCAGGGAAGCTGGTGGAAAATGGCAGGATGCGCAGAAAATCCTTCCCCTTCCTGCTCACAGCAAACTATGTCAGAGGACCTATTAATTACAAAACAAAATCCTCATGTGGGAGAGTGGGGAGCAGCTTAAAGAGGAGTTGGGCTGCTGGTAAGCAAATGTATTGATAAATTTATTTATAACATTATCATGTCCATCTTCCCCAGCCCTTTGTATATCACTTGTAGTTTAGGCTAACTTTTGTGGGGAGAGACCATGGGTAAAATCCTGGCTTCATGGAGTCAATGGACTTCAGGAGGGCCAGGATTTCACTCCAAGTCTTCGAATGCATTTGTACAACACTGAGCATAATGAGGTCCTGATAGTGTCTCTGCATGCTGCTCTAATACAAAAACAACAACAATAATAATGGAGAATTCCAGGTTGCTAAATAAATGGTCTTAATTTAATCTTGTTATTTAATTAATTTATTCTATAGCTAGATTCCATTTTTATTTTTTTAAAAAGTCATTAAAAGAATATTGTTAAGGTTGCAAAGCCCAGCACTCAAAAGTTAGGAATCACCAGAATTAAGATTGCCTATGCAACCTTAATTTGGCCCCTAGAGTATGTGCAGTACAATACAATCTTTAATTACATGTACACTTTGTCTTCTTCACAAGCTTGCTGGTCATGCAGTGCACCAGACAGATGATGCTCAGTGAGGGCTAAATTGTGATACCATTTCTCATGCTTAGTATTAAACGGCTCCTCAAGCAGTCTCACTGAAATCACTCAAGCAGTAAGATACCACAATCCGGCCTAGACTGAGGCAGCTGTCCAATATTGCTTTTTATCCTCATCATTCAATGCACAGCCCCAAGTCTTATTTACTGCACACCATCCAAATGCTGCACCAACTACAGAATTTGTTTTAATTTTCTCAAGGGATTTTCTGTTGGGTTCATCACCACAGTATCTGAGCCTCTCGAAGACACTAATGGATTTATATTCTCAACACCTCTGTGAGGTAGTAGAGGACTATATTTATCTCCATAAGCAGATGTGTCATAGAGTCAGAGTTTAAGGCCAGAAGGAACCACGAGATCATCTAGTCTCCTGTATATCACATGCCACCAACATACCCTGCACTAGATTCAACAACCAAAATTAGACCAACGTATTACAGCCCATAGGAAAGATGATGAACTGAGACAGAAAAGATTAAGGGCTAAATTTTCCAATTTTGGGTGCTCAACTTGAGACTGCTATGGCCTAATTTTTCAGAGGCACTGAGCACCTGCAGCAGCTACTGACTACAACTGCCAATGTCAATGCTTAGCACTTTTGAAAATCAGGCCTGAGATGCTCAAAACTTGGGTGCCCAGAAATGAGGAAAGCACAATTAGTGCTGTACTCAGATAATTCTGATCTAAGTGACTTGGTCAGTGCCACACAGGAAATCTGTGACAGAGTCTGGGATAAGATCTCATTCTCTTGACTCCCAGTGCATTGCCTTATCCATGAAGTCATGCTCCCTCTTACTGCGGCCTCCTGCCACATTTTCTACACACTTTCCAATTTCTGTGATGAATAAGGCAGGGAAAAAATGAGACACTGACACCAAGGCATCCCCAGAGCCAAGCTCTCTCAGTCCTGAGGAGCAAGGAAGGCAGTCTTGGTGTGTATGTGGACTTGGATGACGGCGGTGAGAGCAGTCACTGTGCTTCCTCTCCTTGATCTTATACCTCCAGCTAGGGACCCCAGAGAGCTGTGTCTCAGACAGTGGCTGCAATGGCTCAGGCACAACATCTTTAAAAAGGACACACGGCTAACGGACTACATAAAAATACTGATATGGGGAGAAAAACCGGGAATGACAAAGGAAGCATCACATGCCTTTTGTGATCACTCTACTTTTGCAGCATAGAGGAAACAAAGGACAGTTTGGGCAACTCCCCCTTTTATGCTGTTGGAACTGTGTGTAACTAGAGAGGGGTGAGTGGTCCCAATAGGTACACTTATCCCAAGAGGGCAAAATTCTTGAAGCAGAATATAGATAGACTATTTTAAATACATGTACTCGAATACCTTTGACACAAGGTCTTCCACAACTGGCCATCAGGAAGTTTAGACTTGAAATTAGACGAAGCTTTCTAACCATCAGAGGAGTGAAGTTCTGGAACAGGCTTCCAAGGGAAGCAGTGGGGGCAAAAGACCTATCTGGCTTCAAGATTAAACTCAATAAATTTATGGAGGAAATGGTATGATGAGATAACATGATTTTGGCAATTAATTGATCTTTAACTATTCATGGTAAATAGGCCCAATGGGATGTTAGATGGGGTGGGATCCGAGTTACTACAGAGAATTCTTTCCTGGGTATCTGGCTGGTGAATCTTGCCCACAAGCTCAGGTTCAGCTGATCGCCATATTTGGGGTCGGGAAGGCATTTTCCTCCAGGGCAGAATGGAAGAGGCCCTGGGGGGTTTTTGCCTTCCTCTGCAGCATGGGGCATGGGTCACTTGCTGGAGGATTCTCTGCACTTTGAAGTCTTTAAACCATGATTTGAGGACTTCAATAACTCAGATATAGGTGAGAGGTTTATTGCAGGAATGGGTGAGTGAGATTCTGTGGCCTGCATTGTGCAGGAGGTCAGACTAGATGATCATAATGGTCCCTTCTGACCTTAATATCTATGAGTCTATGAATCTCTCTTTATCATTCTAAGAATAAATGTAGGATCTGCTCTACAGCAACCTAACCTATCTAGTAGATGGCCTAAGACTGAGTCCTTGTTTCTTGGCCTGTTTGGAGGGACCAGTGGCCTTTTACCTCATCAAGCACCAGGGATAGAAGCTAATGCCAGGGATATATGATGGCCAGTGATGCACAGTTTTGGTTATTCATGAGATGTTAAGCTATTTAAAAAAAAATCACGCTAATCAGATAGTACTCTGCATGCCCACTCTGCCCTGTGGATACAGAATACCATCCTGTCTGGTGACACAAATAGTCTACTCCTGAATTTCAAATCTCTACTATAAATTAGTTGCTTTTTGGAAAAACAAAGTTGTTTCACTATAACTGGGTGCAAGCAGCCTTTTCCTTCTTTACAATGTATTTCATTACATTCTCTGCTTTCAGAGGCTATCACCTAACATATAATTAAAGCCTCTGCACCACTCTGGAATGTAACTTCTGTGCTCAATTGTTACATAATATTAAACTAATAGTTGTGGGTGGCAAATGATACAGTTGAGATTATATACAGAGATTCATTAAAAACATGTATCTATAACTATCATGAATAAAATATATATATAATACCATATAGGCGTACATATAAAAGCACCAGGCACACCTATGGCATTATGAAAATAATAATTTAGCTTACTTTTCTTAATTTTATCCCATTACTCCTAGTTATAAGCTCTTGGGACCCCCTAAACAAACCTCCTTCCTTGATGCTGGCAATTTTCAGATACTTGTAGATGGCTATCTTATGTAGAAGCATATTGCATCTGGTTAGCCTTTCTATTTGTTTTAATTTTTCCTTATAAGCTATTTCTTCTATCATTTTGAATGTTCTTTTCTCAAATCCCTTGAAGTCATCAACTTCTTTCTGGCTATCAGCTATTCAGATCTGAACACAGCATTACGTCTGAGTTTTATTGACTTAGAAGTTTATGTGAGATGCACACTCTTCTAAATTGGGAGACATTATAAAGTGCGAAGGAATATAGGCCATATATGGTAGCCAGTCACAAGGAGATGCTCCTAATTTATGACATCAGACACATCTGGCAGCTTTGAAGTTTACATCAGCTGAAAATTTAAATAAATAATTTGTTTGGCTGCTTTGAATAATGGATTTTAATTTGTGTAGAAAATCTGATGGGAAAACCTCACAATCTATCAACATTTTACTGGAAGCTCAATTCCATTATGTTTCAGTGGAGGCTCAAAATTGTTTAAAGAAACCAATCTGCTCTTTATCCAACCCTAAATGTACCACTTGAGATTTGAACTTCCAACAGGAGCAGTATCTGACATGTAACTAATTTTAGAATACAAAATGCTCCTCAACATATTGCAATACCTATAATTTAAAATAACAGTAAACCTAAATTTTGCAAAAACAGAAAATTCGAGTGCTAACAAAAAGCATAATTTATAATTGAAAGAAAATAATATTTAAAAGAAAACAACTTTTGTGTCCTTCCAAAAAGAGACAGAAATTACTAAGTTTTATTTCCCAAGAGAATTATGCCACTTTTGTAAAGAAAATTACAGTCACCACAAATTGCTCTCAACAATTCCAAGGCTTCTTCATTTGACCACTTGAAAATCAAAGTTCTTTAAGATTATAAATATAACTTTTTATAACTCTGTTATTACGTACTGTGAATGGGGAAAGGGGGCCAATCTTGTGGCCGTAGCGCCGAATGGCCTCTCTGATGTGGCAGGGCTGGATGGCATCACTTTGAGCCTCTATACCACAAGCTGCAGTGCTCTGCAACAGAAAAACATAAATTGTTACTAAATCAAAAACACACAACAGACCTGCAGTGCATAAAATATGAAAATAAACCTTTATAAAATGGACTGATTTTTTTTCCTGAGGATACACATCATTGTTGCCACACACTACATCTTAAAAATCTATTAACAAATCAAAGAGGACTTTTACATGACTTGTGTTTAACAGACCCAGAGAACAATATATTTGTCCTCTTAAATCTTTTACTGATTTACTGATTTTGCTGATGTATGTAGCAATGGAAAAGAGAAACAAATGATCAAATTCAAATGAAAGGATCATGGAAGTCATGCTGCAGTAACCACAAAAAGCTATTTCTGAAACATTTCAAGCTTTCCTTATAATATTAAGGGGTGGCAAAAAAATTCTGATAAGGATTTCAAAGCAGACACCAAGATCACAATTGTCTGACAATTCAAATTTAAACTGAAAATGAAACTGTAACATAATTATAAAGTCACAAAGATAAAAAATATTTTAATAGATTCAAACTGGAAAATTTTCAGATTTTAAATAGATTTTTGAACTAAGGACCCTGTGCAAGAAATAGCAGATTCATGCATGCTGGTCCACAGATGCTACAAAGGTCTTCCTGGCTCTGCAGGAGTAGAAGCTGTATTGTATTTTTAGTAGGCAAACTGTAATATTGGTGTAGGGCTCTCTGGCTACCCAAGACAGCTGCTTGCGAAAATTCACAGATTCCATCCAGGTGACTGCCGCGTGACAAGATGAGGGGAATGCCACTGGTGAATCCATTAAGCATGACCAACATACAGTGGACACTGCATGTACAAGATGTACACAAACATACTATGAATATATACCATGGGCCATAATGTTCAGCCTTTAATGTCTAAATTTAAGTATCTAAATAAAGTGCCTGATTTTCAGAAGTGCTGACCACCAACAGATCACACTTGATATCAATGAGTGGAAACCACATGCTACATAATGTGTTGGTGGGACCTTTCTAAATGACATGCATAAAGGGAATGTGAAACCCAATGCTCTGTGTTGGTCTGGGCCCTGATGTAGTATGAATAGCATGCTTCACTAAACAACTGGTCTAGCTCAACACCTTAGCTATGCCTAGTAGATGCCTGTCAAAACTGGATATGTAGTTTCAGTAAAATTGTACAGCAGTTTATAAATATCACATTTTTAAAAATGACATTGAAGTAAGAGTATGAATTTATATTAAACTACACCTAAAATTGCATCCTTAGCTAATATTTTGTGCCTGTGACCTGCAGTGCAAATCACTCACATGAACCCTACCAACCCAATGTAAAAAGGAAGGAGGAAAAGTAACATTCAGAACTCCTAACACAAATATTTTTACAGATCATCAAAGAGTTCCTCATTGGTATGGTATGTAACAAAGTCAATGCTGACAGTTAATTTATTAGTGAGGGAAAGGTGAACTATATGGGGAGTGTCCCTCTTACGATTCTATGAGAAGCATATAAACACCTTGTTTATTGTTTGATAATGTCAAGGTAACAATTACTAGTGGAATGTGCATTTTCTTGGCAAGAAAATAATGTACATGAAAGCAACACTAGTGATTTAATTCATACATGCTGACTTTGAATTATAGTAACATTTTTTTCCCCCAAGATTTCCCCCCACTTCAGTTTTGATATGTTCATCCCTCCCACTTAGAACACCTGGCATTACAGTGAAAACTAGGAATGACAATACTGACATTGGGTATCTTGAATGTGACATAAAAGATACCCACATTTCATTCAAAGCATCCAAATATCTAAGCTAAACTTACTGAGATAAAAATAAGGATACTGAAGTTCATAAGCCTTTTCAGCAATTTTAATCTTTAAAGTTTATGCCATATTTTAAAATTGAGTTTTCAAAACCAAGATTTCAAACCCAAGAAAATGATCAAGATCTTCAGCAGATATTTTGAGTGCCTATCTACTACAGCCTCATCCACACCAACCTTTTTTCTTTTTCTTTGTTTGACTTTGGTGGAGTCTTGTCCAATGCCTCCATTCCCCAGGCCTCCAGACAGTGTTTTCCCAAGGTGTTGTGGTCCTGCTGCTGCTGGGGGAGTGGGCGTAGGAGGTGGTGTGTTTTCCGGGGAGTCAAGACTGCTCTTCATATTTGTGGTCTGGCCTAAGAGATGTGGCTATCAAAACAAAAAATCAAGCAGTCATTGTAAAACGATATTTTTAAAACCTGTTTCATGGTTTCCTGGACTTTCTGTTACAGGAAGTATACCACAACATTCAGTTTGCATATTCGGGAAGTAACTGTGATTGCTGATCCAGGTAATTACAGCAACTGTTGTATCTGTTGTTGTTGATATGTATGCGTATTAATTTCTAATGCTGGAATAAAGGTCCACATACAAGAAGCAGTTCAGGGCTGGAGGTGAGAATTTCTATATAAGCAGAAAGAATTTTCATTTTTAAATGTAAAGATGTCATCAATAATTTTCAAAAGTCTTTAATATGTACATTTTAAATGTTTTTTTTAATAGTTATAAACATACAGTGATTTTCCCCATCCCAGCATGAGCACATCAACAGCTGTCAGATACAAATACGTACTAGAAGGAACTGAACAATTCCAAAAAAATGCATGTACTAATAAAATAAGTACCACCCTTCATATGATATTTATTTCTACTCTTATGCAATAATGGATATTCTGACAATATTAAAAAAAAAACAAGTATTTACCTCAGCAGAATTGTGATACTGTATAAAAGTAGCAGATATTGCATGACTGAATGGATCACCTGCTTTGGGAGCCATATCCTGTTTGACCAAAAGAGCCAAGTCCACCAACTAGAAGAGCAACAAAAGCAACAATTAAAGACTAGGTTCACTGAGATGGAATTAACTGCTTATGAACTGTATCTCAAAAGTGAAGGAAGACACTATATGTGTGTTGTCATAAATGATGCTAATTCTAATGGTAACTAAACAAATTCAGCCTTGAAATAAGATGCAATTTCCTAGCAGTAAGGGTAATTAAATGCTGGAACAGTTTACCACAGGAGGAGGGATTCATCATTGAGTGAAGTCTTTAAGGCGAGATTAGATATCTTTCTAAAAGATAAATTTTAATCAGCTTGTAGGAGAAATTCTGAAGTCCGTGTGCATGAGGTGTCAGTCCCTTCTGGCCTTGGAAGCTGTGAATGTATGAATCCCCCTATTCATTTTTTTCCTTTAAGGGATATGGAAAGAACAGGAAATTCTACATTGCTCCCCATATGCTCAAAACTCCCCATATGCTTACCCAACGCTGCTTGCACCGCAGTCTGCAGCAGTCAGGAAGGATTTTTTCCCCCTGAAGTACAACTGGACAGTTGTAATTTTTCCCCTCCACCTTCCTCTGAAGCATCAGGGAGTGACCACAGCTAGAGATGAGACACCAGATAGGGTGGACCAGTGCTCTGAGGTAATAGAGAGAATCCTCCCTCTCAGATACCTGGCTGGTGTGTCTTGTTCACATGCTCAGGGTCATACTGATCACCAGATCTGAAGTTGGGAAGGAATTTTACTTCAGGTCAGATTGACAGGGATTGTGGGGTTTTTTTCACCTTCCTCTGCAGTATGAAGCATGGATCACCACTAGGATCATTAGGCATATCATTCCAAATCAATTTCCTGCCATTGCAGGGACCTCAACTCTCCTGTTCTCTGCATGTGGCACACAGTTTAGCCATCTGAAAAGTGAAATGCTTTGGTTTATCCCAAGTTATTGGGCTCAATATAGGGGTAACTGGATAAATGTAATGGTCTGTGTTATACAGGAGGCTAGACCAGATGATCTAGTGGCCCCTTCTGGTCTGAAACTCTATGAAACTATAAATGCCTCTTTAATAATGTTTGAACTGCAATGAGTTACTTTAACTTAAAGAACTGGAAGTTACTTAGCTGTAACAAGAAAAGCATGCACTGCATTTAGCTGTAACAGGAAACTCTTTGAGATGTGTGGTCCCTATCTGTATTCCACACAAGGTACAGATGCATGCCATGCAACTGAGTCCACAGATTCTTAACGAGGTGTCCATTGGCCCGCACACATGCAGTTGCTCTCCTCGTGCTCCAGACCAAAGGCGTAAGAGGTAGTGCTGGCTGCCGCCTCTCTCACCATGAATCCAACAGGATCCGAAGCAGAGGGCACGGACGGTGGGTAGTGAAATACAGACAGGGTACATCTCAAAGAACCTACAGTTACAAGTAAGTAAACTCCATTTCTTCCCATGCTGGTCCCTATGTGTATTCCATACGTGGGTGACTGACAAGCAGTATTCAGACCAGAGGTTGGTGCAAGGATGCCAACAATAAAGATGCTTGAAGAACTGCAGTCCCCACAGCTGCATCTGCAGCAGAGAACTGAAGTAACGATGTGTAATGTTTTGTGAACATGTGACTGGAACTCTAGGTAGCTCTCAGAGAGTGTCCTTACCCCATCCAGATGAGGGAAATGCACTAATTGGTAGTATGTGATGATGCAACCAAAATCAATTTATTGATTCTCTGAGGAGATATTTCTTGTCCTCGTGACCTTTCTGCTATAGTGAGCAATAGTCTTGGTAATTTTCTGATTGGTTTGGTCCTTGACAGGCAGAATTCCAGGGCACATCTGACATCCAGGGAATGAAATCTTTGGGTTTTGTGAAGGAAATGGAAAAGTGGATAGGTTGGTTGACATGGAATTCAGAAATTACTTTAGGGAGCAATTTATGATGAAGATGAAGGGAGACCTTCTCCCCGTAGAAAGGGCATATGGTGGATCAGTCATGAGTGCTCCCATTGTGCTCATTCTTCTGGATGAAGTAATACCAACTAAAAACGTGACCTTCATGGAAAAATGGGACATAAAGCAGCTGGCCAAAAGTTCAGATGGTGGCCTGGTGAGTATGGATAGGACGAGATTGAGATCCGATTGAGGTGTAGGCTTGACAACTGGTGGAAATGTCCTGGTTGTATCTAGCTAGTTACAGATAGCTACCCCAATTTGTGCTTGTAAGTTTGTTCTGAGGTGGTCACTGTAACTTTGAGTCCAGGATGCACGGGGGAGAAGGAGGAGAGAGACGAGAAAGAGAAAAGAAAGAATGTGAGCTCTTTGAAAGAGTGAATGGAATAAATCTTACCTTTGCTGTTATCAAGCTTCCTGAGTCTTCCTCAAAGGGGTACAGGTACAAAAGTCCTGACTAGGCCCTTCAGGAATCTGTCTGTTGTTGGGTGAGTTAAAATGGAATACTCATCTACTGGAGGAAGGACCGCACTGATTGCTGCAAGATGGACCCAACAATGAGCTCAGGAGAAGACCCAAGTTCTTCAATGACAGGAGATAATCTAAAATGACTGGCATATCCGCAAAGTCCGAGGAAGTCTGATTGTGCTGTGGCCAGGTATAGAAACATCTCCCTTTAGCTAGGTAGAAGTTCCTAGCTGAATCTTTACTACTCTGAGTAAGAATGGCTTGGACAGCTTCTGAATATGAGTGTTCCAGTTCTGAAGCCCATCCACAAACCAGTCTGTGAGGTGAAGTGGGTCTGGGTGAGGGTCTCTGATTTTGCAGTCTTCCTGTATTAGAAGATCTGGCAAGGGATGGATCCTGATGGGAGGATAGGCTGACATTCTGAGAAGTTCAGGGAACCAAGTGTGTGGACTAGTTGGGTGTTATCAGAATGAGACAGATCTTTCTCAAGACTTGTGGTAGCAGGGGAATGGGCAGAAAGGCATATCTGAGTTGTTCTGACCATGATAACAGGAAAGCTTTGTCCTGGGCATCATGGCCCATACCTGCAATACAAGGGAAGTTTCCTGTTCATTTGGAACATGAAGAGATCCCATTGAGGTGTTCCGCTTGAGTGAATCTCTGAGAGCTGTATATTTCCCACTCATGGTCTGCAGGGAAATACCTGGTAGGTCCGTGGCTTGGATAGTGATGCGTTTTCTGAACATTCCAATGCCTGACTGCCTCCAGGAAGAGGGGCAGGGTTCTTGCTCAACCCTGCTTGTTTATATAAAAGGCCAGAGTGATATCCAACATTATTTGGATATGGAGCGAATACATGATGGACCACACTCAGTTCCAGCAGGTTGATGTACAGTTTGGTGCAAATGCCCTGTACAGTGTGATAATTCAGTAAGTGTCCCATCCTAGAGTGTCCCATCCCAGAGTATCTGTTATGATGGTGGCAATGGGGATGGCAGTGTTGAACGGGACTCCCACTTGCACTTGTTCCGGGTTCATGTGAGAGAGGCAATGACGTTGGTGGGAACAGTCACTCTGGTGTTCACATGGTCCTTGTCTGGTAAGTAGAGAGACCAGAGCCAGGCCTATAGGCGGTGCAGAAAAAGTCTGGCGAATGGTATCACATGAGACCATGTGGTCTAGTAGGGAAAGGCATACTTTGACTGTAGTTTTTTTGTTTGCAAGTAACCTGTGTTATCAGATTGTTCACTGATTGAAATCTTTCTGCAGGGAATAAAGATCTTTCTGAAACTGGAGTCCAGTATCACTCTGATAATGTTTTTCATCCTAGTGAGGATCAAAATGGAGTTTTCTTTGTTCATGCAGAAACACCAGTGTTGCTAGAAGATGAAGCAGGAACGAAGTTGCTAACCTGACCTCATGGTAGGAGTGATCTGTTAGGAGCCAGTCAACCAAGTATGGGAAGGCTGTGCAGCCATTGCATCTAATTTGGGGTGCCACCACAAAAAAACCTTTGTGAATACCCTGGGTGCTGTTGCTTGTACAAGGGAAGGACACTATATGAAAGTAGGTGTCTTCTATGTCGAGAGCCACAAACCACATTCCCTCCTGTACAGTGGGGATTACTGTTGCTAGTATAACCATCCTGAATTTTGACTTTTGAATAAAGATGTTCATTTGTCAAAGATCCAGACTGGGTCTCCACCCTCATCTTTTTTGGGGACTAACATGTATGGGGAATAAAACCTCCCTTCAAGTTGAGATTGCATTTGTTCTATTGGCCACTGTTGGAGAAGACTAACACGGCTGTTACCCTGAAACCTGTTGGAGAAGAGAATCTGCCTCCTGGCAAAGAATCTCCTTGTGAGAGTGGTCCTTGAAGAAGAACCATGAACGGGGTTTGTGGGAGGGAAGGGAAATAAATTTGAGGGAGTAATCATGGTGGATGATTTCTAGAACCCACATGTCTGTCATGATAGAGTCCCAATTGTGAGCAAAATGTGAGAGAAGACCCCCAAAGTTTGGGGGGGCAAGGGACAGAATAGAAGTATTTGGCATCCATAAAGATGGGTAATTCTCAATTGAGGTGTCAAAAGTAGCCCTGAGTGGGTGGGCGGCAACGGGTGGGAGGAGGGCATCCAGTTCTCCTCAATTCCCTGTCAGGACTCATCTCTCTGCAAGGAGATGAATGGCTGGCCAGAGTATCTGACTCACCCAAGTCAGAGACCTGCTCTGGCTCTACTGGTGGGGTCGTCAGTACTGGAAAGTGAACACTCCTGTGTTAGGGTTGGAGCAGGGAGGAGTCCTGAGTTACTGAAGTAGATTCATCGTCCGATGTAGCAATGTCTCTCAGAGGACGGGTCTAAGAGGAGAGGGGATGAGACATGAGTGCCCACATGTCCCAGGGTTCAGGGTATACGGGCCGTCAGGACTGATGATTCCGATGCATCCCAAGATCTTGCAGGTGGCTGATCCTTAGAAGAGTGGGCTGGGACTGCCATAGAGTCAGGTCCTGCACTCCTAGATGGAGCCAATGGATGCCAGTCTTTATGTTTAGGAGTCAGAGCTACCAAGAGAACTGATGGATTCTTTTTCTTCTGTGTTTTAACTGCATGCCTGGGGCCTTCAGCAGTTCTGAGCTATTAGGATGTGCGTGTGAAGGTTTGCCCAACCTGGATGGGGTCAGGGAAGGATCTCCTCTCTCAGAAACAGACCTGGATGGGGATCTGTCCTTGCATCTATGACAGTGCCTCTTACTCTTATAGAAGCCCTGAATGATGAGTCCTTGGGTTTAGCAGCTTTCGGCTCTGCTCCCAAGTTCAGGCTTGGAGAGCAATTGCACATATGTGGGCCAACAGACACTGCTTTTCATGAACCTCTGGACTCAGGCACATGTGGAATATGCATAGGGATCAGCAATCAAAGAACCACCTTTCTCATCACCGTTTATAAATTTACTGAGTAATTTGTCTACCTAAAAAGGGTCGACCCCTACCTTTTATTTACAGTTGGGATGACTGAACCCAAGTGAATCGCCAGAACTCACATAGAAAAATGAGTGGTTTCAGTGGCCTCCTAGCTGCCAATCTTTTGCTATAACCATTAGCCAAAAGTGCCACTTACACACCAGAGCAATGAGCACGGAACAGTACAAAAGCTCAGATACAGCAGATTACATGAAAGTTAGAAAGGAATCCAGAGATAGTCCCTTGAAAGGTCAAATACAACTTTGAAGAAATGTTAACACACAGCCTGAAGTGTCTGCTGAGATTAGTTGAAAGATGTTTAAGATTACTAGTTACCTTTGTTCTGTTGTATCACAGTAGATATAGCACATTCCCTTACCTGTGCCACAGTCTCATATGCTAAATATGCCAAAATCTCCATGGCAACTGCATTTGGTTTTATTTCCATACTGCTGCAGTCCAGCCAATCACGAAACTTGGAAGCTTTCTTGGCTGTCAGTTCAAAACAAAGTGAACAGAAGTTAATTTTAACAATAGATCTACATTCTTATTTGCTTAATTCTACATCTGACAGGGTAACAGTCAAAAAGTAAAACTGAACTTGATGTGAAGGGCAAGAAAGAGGCAGTAGAGGGATTCAAAGAGGGGGTTACAATGAGAGAGTGAGATTAATGGGTAAAGATGCTAATTTCACAGGCAGCAATTTGGGTAGCCTATAAGAGAAGGCTATGACAATCATGAAGAAAAGGAGGAGAAAAAGACGCAGTAATCAAGGCAGGAGATTACAGTACGGACAAATATTTAACTGTGGGGACAGACAGGAAGGGTTGGATTTACAATATATTATGGTGGAAGAAAAAACAGGCTCGCGTCAACCCTTGGATGAATGGCGATAAAGATAGGATAAGATGACTCTGAGGCTCCACCCCTGAGTGAGGAGGAAAAGGATGTTATTAACAGCAATGAAGAAAGGTGGAAGTGATTTAGAAGGAAAATTAAGGAGCTCAGTTTTAACTATGTTAGGGTCTTGGACGATCACAAGCTATCCAGCATGATTCGCTGGGTATGTCTGAAATGCGGTATTAGGCAGAGGGAAATAAAAGGTGCAGCCAAGTAGATCTGTAAATCTTCAACACAGAAATAACGCTTTGATCCCACACACACTCAGGATACCTCAGGAATAAGGCAGAGAAAAAAAGAAGAGATGGGCAGAGACAGAGACCCATGGGGGCTTGCACAAAGAGGGAAGAAGGTGGGAAGGCCAAAGTGACGCTGACGGAATGGCAGGAAAATTAAGAGGAGAACCAGGAAAGGCCAAAGGGAGGATAAAATGTTGTTAAGGAGAGAGTGAACAATGGTGTCAATGACTAGAGAAAGATGAAAGAAACTTGGCCAGGAAGAAGTCCTTAGTGCTTTTGGTGAGAGCTGTTTGTGAAGAGGGCAGAAATCAACTGGAGGGCATCTGGGGTGGGAGAGTAATTTGATATAGAGTTGTAAACTGCCTGTTCAATCAGCCTGGAGGTAAAGGGGAGAAGAGAGATTGGGTGTTCGTTGGAAAGGCAGCTGTTATCAAGGATCATATTTTAGGACAGGGAAACAAGGATATACTGGTTGGCTGAGGAAAAGAAGCCAAAGTAGGAGAATTTGAGGATGAGTAAAAGGGAGGTGGCAGGATCAAAAGCACTGGATCGAATATTTATACATGCCATCTTAGACTGTTTGACATTTGGGGCAGGGAGCTTTTCTTTCAACAGATTTTTAAAATGCCATACAGATTTATGGTGTCATATAACTAAATAATTATAACACTACTGTTACATTGGATGACTTTTCAGGAGCTAATACACGGCTTTACCTTACAGTAATATGGATTTATTATTTTAAACCCACTGAAGTTTTAAAATTCAATTTCTACTACAACTAAGGGAAATATCAAAAAATAGTCTTTTGTCTTAATTTTTAATAAAAGGCCCTGTGCCATTTAGCATATTACTGTATTATCTGGTTTGCTTTATGCTAGGTAATGAAACTGTGAGTATGATTCTCCTCACTAGTTTTACACCAGTAACAACCCATTGAGATCAACTAACAACTTGATTGATATTAAATGTGAGGGGAAAATGAGGCCATGGTTATTCAAAAAGGTAGAAAAATTATCCATCAGATCATTAAGAAAAATAATCATGATCTCCAGTTCATCAACATTGAACGTTATTTTGTAAACTGAAGATTTATATTTGTACTGAGTTCTGATTATAATTTTTAGGTTTAAAAAATGGCATTATCACAAACCTCTCATTAGCTGAAATCACCCCAATCTGAAGTACCATTTACCTAATGATTCACAGATGTGTGATGCCAAATTACAACTGAGCTTTCAAAACATATTGAATTAGGAAAAGAATAAATGCTTACAAAACATGTTTTCCTACATTTGCTGACATTTACACAGAGTGCTATTTTGGATGTGTCATTTATTTGCACTTTATGATACATAAATGAATCACTCATGCACCCAATTCAAATGCCTTGTTATAAAAAACAAGATAAGCGTCTCTCATTTAAAGATATCATTGTATTCAATTTTGTATTGTAGGGTCATGTGCTATTTTGTCATGCTTTTCACTAGCTCTTTCACCTCACTTTCTCTTTGACCTTTGACCTGAAGCCTTAGTCATCACTTAACCGCTTCTGTAATTATGTTTTGCTACATGATCAAGCCCATTAATTTACAACCCATTATAGTTGTGGCCCACAAGCATTTCTAGTAAGCTGGTTTTCAGTGCTAGTAAAGCCCTAATTCTGTCATCATGTTATTAGTGTTGGAATGGCGTGTACTGATGAATTTGGCTGATGTTGAATAAATTCCACAGCAGGAGGTTACGGCTTAAAATAGAAAAGACCCTTTAGTAAGTTCTTTATATATCTATGGATGCAGAAATAAAAAGGAAAACTTGATACCATTAGTTAATTTTCGATACCTTCAGAAGTAATCACAACATTGAGGGTGTACTTCATTTATCAGCTGTGTATAACCATACCATGGTAAGCTGCATACAAACATGGTTGTTTAATACATAAACTGCTTAAAAGTTTTATCTATTTATGGATTTTATATTTGCACTCAGCACCAGAGTATTTGTGAAATCTGGGAAATATAAAAATAAATAAAATAGTCTGCCTGATCTCAATAGAGTGTAATAAATTAGCATCACTTAGCGGTTCTGAGGACAGAGAACCTAACATACTCTTTCATGCATTAAATAAATACATTTCTCAGAAATGTATCAATTAGATTCTACAGTGTACATAAAATAACTGCACATCTAAATACTGTGCAGGAGTTATATGTGATAGTACTTACAAAAACTTAACTGACGACTTTCACAAAATTCTGCATACTGGGCTGAGTCCATCATTCGTGTTTGTCTTTCTGCTCTCTGAAAAACAACGGGTAGATTTAAATAATGCACTTTATTCAAACAAGAACCACATACTGCAAAATAAATGCCACCCACAAAATTCTTGCAGGCATAACTCTGAAGTTAACCCAAAAATTAAATGTTTTTTTAACAGAATAAAATGCACAAAAATAACACACGGTTGGGTTATTTCTCATGGGTAATATTTGCCAATGGTAAGATTCAGAATTTTGATTCCAGAAGTTTGCTTATATATGTTCCTTATGCAGCACAACAGTTAGGGCTCAAGCCTGCAAAGTGCTGAGTACTCTGGCCCTGATCCAGGAAAACACTTAAATACACATTTAAATTTAAGTCCGTGAGTAGTCCCACTGTGTGCTTAATGTTAAGCACATACTTGTGTTTTCCTGAGTCAAGGCCAAAGGGCTCAGCATCTTGCATAACGGAGGCTATGACTACACTAGAGAGGTTATAGCAGCGCAGTTGCACCGATGCAGCTGCTCTGTTGTAACTTCTCAGTATAGCTGTTCTTAGCCGACGGGAAAGAACTCTCCTGTCGACTTAATTAATCCATCCCCTGCGAGTGGTGGTAGCTATGTTGGCAGGAGAATCTGTCCTGTCCACATAGCACTGTCCACATAGCACTGTCCACATAGGTCAGTGTAACTTATGTCAGTCGGCGGGTGGTTTATTCACATGCCTGAGTGACAAAAGTTATACCAACATAAGTGATAGTGTAGACATAGCCTGAGCCCTAAATCTTTTTGAAATAGACACTAATGATATTGTAGCGAATGGAAGACTGGCACCACTGTGGGGATGCACCAGGTCAGCAGGAGAGCAATAGGGGCGAACTTTGCGCCACACCAACTTGGTACATGCAGGAGCACTGGGATGGTGATTGCTGGCATTTTAACAATAACATTTGCCTTCATTTTTATTCTTCAGAAAGCGAAGGCAGCTAGGAGAGGAAGAAAGTGAAAATTAAACAGGGTAATTAATTAAATCCATTTGAGAAAAAACATTCTGTTGGATAGTTTTAATTGTATTTCCTACAGATATAGTTAAATGTAAAATAAATTCTTATATAACACAGTGCCTCAAAACAGGCAAAGTATTCAAACTGTACATGTCTATATATAGCAACCCCTCCAAATATTTGCAACACCATATTTAGGCCAAGATTCAACCATGCATTTATGTTTACATTTAATTTTAAGGATGTGCTTGAGTTCCATTGACTTCAATGGAGCAATGCTGATTTACACTAGCTGAGGATCTATCCCATATAGTAGACTTTACACCCTTTGTGACAGTCTATACTGTTATGTTCACCACTTTTACAAGACTATAATAAATTATGTACAAGTATGCCCTGTGAGGTATCGTTTGAAAAGTAATCATCTGCTGAATATCATTATCCTCTTGGAATTTGAGTAGCAATACTATATGTGAAGTTTTGAAATTCTACTGTATGATTGTTACTGAAATATGCTGTAATTTCAGGTAACACCCACAAACAAGTTTTTCAGAAACAAAGATACACTGGCCCCGGCCAGGTGTTAAAGAGCTATCACCAGCTTAAGCGGCCATTCTCCAACAGGGGGAAAGGTGTATACAAATTTACATTTCAACACAGGGATCGGTCAGACTTCACATCCACAAGAGAATACTTGTCACCAGCACCCCAGCTGCGGGTAATCCTCAAAAAGCGGATGGTGGAACAAGAATGAGAAACAGTGGCCTCCAATTTACCTCTCTCCTCCTTCATCTCTGCTTATGACATCAATGCATTTCAAAGAACTGGACTAGGGAGAAGGGTTCTAGGCTGAAAGGAGACTCAACCTGTGACATTTACTGATTTTAAGTTCACCTAGCTTTTAAGTTGGGTATTAGCTTGCATTTTATCCTTTTAGTGTATTTTGTAACCAATCCTGACTTTTATGCATCATCACTTGTAATCCCTTAAAATCTGTCTTTCTGTAGTTAATAAACTTATCTTATTGCTTTACCTTAACCAGTGTATTTGGATTAGGATGTGTAAGAAACTCCATTTGGGATAACAAGGCTGATGCATTATTATTTTCCTTTGATGAAATGACAGACTTCATATGACCTTATACTGCTAAAAAGTGTATTGAGCAGTACAAGACGCACATTTCTGTGGAGACAAGGCTGGGACTTAGAATTTGTGGGTGTTGCTCTGGATGTAGTTCATGAGTGACTGTTCAGAGTGCTCATGTAATTTAGCTGGGAGCGAATTTGCATGGTGAAGGCTGTGTGAGCAGGCCAGAAGCAGATGTTCTGACACCAAAGCAGTGTAAAAAGTGCCCCAGGCTAAGAGATTAAGGGGACACAACTGTTCATTGGTCCAAATTGTCACACCCTTCATAAACTGGAGGCAGGCAGAGACGACACTAAATGATTGTCCTTTTCAGTAGCAGAAAGCAGTTCACTCAAATTTCTCAAACAAGAAAAGTATGTTATCTTAATCTTAGAGAAAGGAGTATCACCTCCTTCCAAACTCTAATTTAATGAATAAAGGAAAACCATTCAAGCTAACAAAGGCAAAATTTTGGCACCAACAGTACAGTCTTAGAATAGGAGTGGCCAATTGCACCGCAATCCATAAATTTACACTCAGTGCATATAGCCAGAGTTAACATATACAATTACAAGCCAAGAAGTGATACATGTGGTAAATCTTGACTTTAGTAAATTTTTTGATATGGTCTTGCATGACCTTCTCATAAACAAATCAGTGAAATATAGTCTACATGGAGCTCCTATAAGGTGAGTGCATAACTGGTTGGAAAACCACTCCCAGAGAATAGTTATCAGTGGTTCACAGTCAAGCTGGAAGGGCATAATGAGTGGGATCCTGCAAGGATCAGTCCTGGGTCAAGTTCAGTTCAATATCTTCATCAATGATTTAGATAATGGCATAGAGAGTACACTTCTAAAGTTGGCAGATGATACCAAGCTGGGAGGGGTTGCAAGTGCTTTGGAGGATAGGATTAAAATTCAAAATGATCTGGAAAAACTGGAGAAACGGTCTGAAGTAAAGAGGATGAAATTCAATAAGGACAAATGCAAAGCACTCCACTTAGGAAGGAACAATTCATTGCACACATATAAAATGGGAAATGACTGCCTAGGCAGGAGTACTGTGAAAAGAGATTTAGGGGGATATAGTGAATCACAAACTAAAAATGAGTCAACGTTGAAACACAGTTGCAAAAAAAGCAAACATAATTCTGAGATGTATTAGCAGTGGTATAGTAAGCAAGACACGAGAAGTAATTCTTCTACTCTACTCCACACTGATAAGGACTCAACTGGAGTACTGCTTCCAGTTCGGGTGCCACATTTCAGGAAAATTGTGGACAAATTGGAAAAAGTCCAGAAGGCAGCAACAAAAAAGATTAAAGTTCTAGAAAACATGACATATGAGAAAAAATTGAAAAAAAAATGAGTTTGTTTAGTCTGGAGAGGAGAAGACTGAGGGGGGGACATGATAACAGTTTTCAAGCACATAAAAGATTGTTACACGGAGAAGGGTGAAAAAATGTTCTTGTTAACCTCCGAGGATAGGATAAGAAGCAATGGGCTTAAATTGCAACAAGGGAGGTTTAGGTTGGCCACTAGGAAAAACTTCTTGTCAGGGTACTGAAGCACTGGAACAAACTGCCTAGGAAGGTTGTGGAATCTCAGTCTTTGGGGGTTTTAAAGAATAGTTTAAATCAGCAGTTCTCAAACAGTGGGTCATGAGTTCATTTTAATGGGGTTGCCAGGGCTGGCATTAGATTCAGTGGGGCCCAGGGCAGAAAGCTGAAGCCTGAGCTCAGCCTCCTATGCGGGCTGAATCCGAAGCTTGAGTAACTTAGCTTTGCAGGGCCCCCTGTGGTGTGGGGTCCCAGGCAATTGTCTTGCTTGCCGCCCTGTAACACCAGCTCTGTGCACCACTTCTTTTCTCAGCCACTTGCCTATCAGAACTGTCTGAAATGATTACCTAGCAACTGACTGAGCATGTTGTGGTTGAAGCCAGTTTGAAAAGTTGCTGTAGAAATAATTGTAGCAATGGACCATTTTCTGAAGAAAACTGGATGAAAGTGGGGTAATGAAGGGGAGTTGATTGCCACTCGCAGCAAAAGAAGGATCCTAATAGCAGTAAAATCCAAGAAACCACAAATATGATTCAAAACATTTGGAATATGGATTTACATGGACTGGTTTTGAGGAGGACCCATGGCCACAGTGTTTGGTGTGTAGCGAAGTTCTGGCAAAGGATAGCTTAAGACCTTCAAAAATATTGCGGCACTCAGACGCAGCACAGTTCTCTTTAAACAAAACCGATTAATTTTTTTCAGCAAAAGCTGAGAGTGCTAAGGGCCAGAAAACAGTACTGAGAACAGCAGCTATAGCAAATGAGAAAACCCCAGAGAAATCTTCTGATGTGTCATATTGGATAACTAAAACCGGGAAACCGCACACTATTGGAGAAAGTTTTTTTCTGGCACGTATGAAGAAAATGGTTTTGATTATGTTGGGGCAAGATGCAGTGACTCAACTTGATTCGATTCCCCTGTCTAATGACACTATTGCCAGGCATATTCACAGTATGGCAAATGACATGACTGAACAAGTGATTGCCAAAATCAAGTGAAGTCCTTTTGTTTCCCGTTCTTCTTGATAAAACGAGGAACGTCTCAGGTGCTGCTCAGATGCTGACATACATAAAATTTGAGAATGACAAAAAACTCCAAGAGGAATTTCTGTTCTGTCGGTCATTACCACAGGATGCTACAGGGGAACAACTCTTTGCACTTTTGGATATTTTTGTCTCAGATTCTGGCTTGTAATAGCAGCGCTGTGTAGGAATTTGCTGGGATGGTGCTCATGCAACGACTGGAAAAAAACAGCGCGCTAGTCACCCAGGTGCAGGCTGTTGCACCACAAGCATATTAAACTCACTGTATTATACACAGGCAAGCCCTAGTTGCAAAAAAAAAAAAAAA